ATTCTTTAGACTTTTACTTATTAACTTGCACATCTTTGATCCAGATTTAATATCACTTATAATCTTCGTGAACCGGATATCCATTTGGCACTCGCAGTCGTTACTTTACCAAAAAGCAAAGTCGTTTCCCAGGAAAAATAACAAATCGATATTTGAAAGAAAAACATTCACGAAAGGTGGCATCTGTCCAAATAGAGTTAGAGCTTAAGATACTTTATTTATTTAGGATATTGGAGGACCAATTTTTCGAGTGATACAATAAAGGTGTCCTGGACCAGGATGACATGTCGTGCTGTGACATTTTGGGGTTCATACGTATATAAGGGATTAAAAATGCAACCCTTTGAGATTAGGTATTATTGTTGGTGGTGTACCTACCCTGCTCTTCAAATACAAAGAGCTGCTATCAAATCTGACATATAGAATACATTATTGGAAACAAACTATTCAGTATAGATAGATATAGATAAGAACTAAAACTATCCACAAATAACTATGTCTAGAATCTATAAAAATAAATTAAAGAAATTAATTTAAGCATAGTCGGAACGTGAACCAGGAAAGATGGTTATCTAAAGCCACCTTGAAAACATTTAAGTAATGCACTCCGTAAAATGTGTTTAATCTCTTGACATTATTAGTGTCAACTCGTACTATAAAATTAGCATAATTGTCCTTCTAGATTCTAATCTTGTCATTTTTAACAAAGTTTTAAGGAATGTTCGTTTTTTAGTAGCCGGCAGTATAAAATCCCGACAAGTTGTAGTAAACGCGATTAAGATAACGTCGTGTGTAGCTAGGGACAAATTGTCACATAACTATTAAGTTTTATATATATATATATATATTTTTTTCAAAATTCTAGACAACAAAGGGCGAAAATTGAACCTGTCAAATTAAAATCATTCGGCTTCTTGCATGACTGACTAAAATCAAATTTGCAAATTTAGATACATTATGTCCTCTAAGATATTGGCTTCAACATGGATTAGTGAAACTCTCTTGTATTTCCCCTAGCGTATTTGCTGGAGTATTAATTCGACACGTGTCATTTGAGCCCTCAATATTTCCAAAAATTCATCAAAATCACCAATATTAATCATCCAGCTTCAAAAATATGACGTTTGAGGGCTTTTATTCTAAACAGTGTCGACAGATGTACTACACCCGATTTAGCTATTTAGCCCGGTAAATACCCTCTAGACCTTTTGTTCCGATTTCTTTTGTAGAAAAATCAACGATCGCGTATACAGCTGAGCACATATCAATAACGTTTTTATTCCCGGATTCCACCCTCATGCTTGGATTTGGCCAATTTGAATGAGCGGATTAAAATTGGTTTATTTTTATTTTTCATCCACGTCATCTTCAAACTCCCATCTGTTCCCACATAATGCACAAGTGTGTTAGAAATTTATTACATCACTTGATCTGTTTTTATGTCTTTCGAGAAATTTTGCCACTGTAAGTTACACCCCCAACTTCCTAATTGGCTCCAGTATCTAGGGGTTCTTTCCTATTTTTTTTTTTTTCAGTTAATTAGGTTGACATTGATTTAGGGAATCGTTTGCATATTGACTATTAATGCATTTTAACCAAATGCTCTTTTTAATTAATTACCATACAAGATGAGACAATGTTCATTAAAAATACCCAACCTATTGAAAACAAGATTTATTATGTTACGCGCAATTTGCAAATGGTGTACGCACACACAGGACAATGGAGTGCCAAATTCTATACCTAGGGGGACGGTAAAATATGTTTAGCAATCAAAATCAACCCCCGTAGTGGAGCATGACGGGGTTTTCGACTATTCAAGGGTCGCGTCAAGCACAGAATGGACACTGAAATCTAGAAACAAGTTTTACATTCGAATTATTACAGGCTCTTGATTTGCTGACAATCAAGAGTCGGTAATGTTCAAAATTTGGACTCATAACTGGTAGATTTTCTCCTAAAAAAATGTACAACAAATCAAGAACCAGCAATAATCAATATTTAGTCTGCTTTGGGTGTTTGATTGGCCTTGAACTAGTAACAATAAAAAATTGAATTATTACAGGCTCTTGATTGGTTGAACAATTTTTTTAAGAGACAATCAAGTGCCGATGAAAATTAAAATTTGATCTCATATAATGAGAAAAATGTTGCTTTATACTTGGCAAAATTCCTAAGTGAATTAAAATTGCAAACTCTTGGGTTTCACGCACGTGCAAACCGAAATTCGGCACGTGCATTAATTTCGACTATAGATCCAGAGGAAAATAATTTGTACGGTTCTCATTGTATTTTTTTTAGAGTTCCCCGTGACCTCAGCAGCTTTTACGAGTGGCTATAAAAGCTATTTTTCAGTACAGTCTAACCCTCTTTTTTGATTAAATTTAGCCAGTGGATAGAGCTTAGAATGAGGGTTAAAAAAAAACAACGTCATGGGAAGTTTTAAGTCTTTGTTTCACTCACTCGATATAAATCTGTTCATTTTTCGGGGTTGGATGAGCAAAGGGGGTTAATTTACGTTTTTGTGTGAGAACTACAGGGAGGATTTTGTATAATGGGGTGGCTTTTTGATCCAGATAAATATGCTTTATGATTCAAAAAAAAATAATTCCATTTGTCAGAATTTCTAAAGTTCCATTTATGAGGAAACTTGATAGACGTGGCGCAGAATTCAAATATTCTACAGAAAAAACCAATGAAAATCTTCAGAAAAATAATAAAAACTCAATTTGCTTAACACAAATTTTCAGGGATTGTAGTCCTCTACTGGAATAAAACCCTTTGAAAATTTCAGCTTTTTATCTAATAGAAAAAAAGTTATAACCTTTCAAAGTTTTCCAAAATCTAAATTTCGATTTTTTTTGTTTATTCAGATTTTGTGTCCTAATGATCCTTTGGGATCCCCCAAACTTCATACACTAAATTATTCCAAAATTTGGAGCCGGATTCTATGGAAAAAGGCACTCAGAAAAATTGAAAAATTAATAAATTACCCCAAATTGCTTAACACGATTTTATTTCTGGAACTATAAGTCCAATTGAGCTGAAATTTTCAGGGATTGTAGTCCTCTAATGGGATAAGAATCGCTGAAAATTTCAGCTTTCTATCTTCAATAGAAAAAAAGTTATCTTTCAAATTTTTCCAAAATCTAAATCATATGAACCTTTGGGATCCCCCAAACTCCAGACACTAAATTATTCCGAGATTTGGAGCCGGATTCTATTGAAAAAGGCACTCAGGAAAATTGAAAAATTGATAAATCACCTCAAATTGCTTAACACAATTTTATTTTTGGAACTATAAGTCCAAATGATCTGAAATTTTCAGGGATTGTAGTCTTTTACTGGTATAAGAATCGCTGAAAATTTCAGCTAAATGTTTCCAAAATCTAAATCATAAGGTAATATCCGTTCACAAGCCGATGTCCACAGGTACAAGTACGATTTCTCACCTTTCAATGTTATTTGATAGGGAAAGGTGATAAATTTACCTACACCTGTGGACATCGGATTGTGAACAGGATATACAGTGTGTCCGAAATTCGAGTCTCTATATAGGGATATCGCTTATTATGAGAGATACAGGATGGCACAAATTAGGAAAGTTTTAGGGAATTTATTGCTCATATATATCCTGTTGTTGAATTTGCTCCAAATTTTTCTCTTTCCTAGAAATCCGAGGAAAACTGAAAATAGCCAATTTTGTTTTTTGTCAATAATTCATAAATCGTTAACTTTAGACTTTTCTCACTTTAACATTATTAAGACACTTTACTTCAGTACCTACTATATAATATATTTCCAAAATGTGTTGGTAGAGAAAGTATTAATCACAATCACAAGTAGCCGAAAGGAGCAAATATACAGATCAAGGAAAGTAAGAATGAAAAACCTGCATTAAAATCTTGAAATGTTGACAATTAAGAAGCTCATTTGCCTTCAATCCTTCAATTAAAGTGAAATGAAGACTAAAACTGGACTATAAATAAAAATTTGAATATTAGAACTGACCAATAAGAAGCCCAGATATAGAGAATCTTTGGGTTAAAATGAGCAAATTATCAAATCCAATTTGATAATTCAAGGGCTGTTTATAAGTATATAATTATAGAATCAAAGTCTCTTCTACCTATTTTTAAAGCCTCTCAAAATCCCTGTTGCCTTATTTTTCCAAGAAAAATATTCATATTCATCATGGGTATATAATTAGACCTGGGAGCTACCTTAGTCGTTATCTAGATCACGTCAAAACAGCTATTAGTTTTCTTCTGCGTAACACATGTTGCCGATATCTTTCAGATATTTTATCTTTTTGAAGGGTATTCATTTTTATTTGACCCAGGCTGTTAGGTATTACATTTATTTTTACACCATCATTTAATTAATCTAAAACCCTTTATTCTATTTCCATTAATTTAATTTCCTTTTACGATACCATACAAAAATGCAGGTCACTAGGTTCGATGAAAATAGATAAAGCCCTATATAGAATTTTCAAAACTTTCCAATGGCAAAGATAAAGTGTATTTACTTCTGGACAAGCAATTCTGAAAAAGATAAAAGACCCTACTTATTGGGATCCGTCGTATTGGAGTTAGGGCACGATTTGTTTGTCTTTGGAAGGACAATTTTTTGATTTTTGTGCGCAATGTAAAAGTGTAATTTTTCATTAAATAACATCATCGCAAATAAAATAAATGGGCTTGTTTTTCTCCATTTCATTCTCTAGGGAACAATTTTCCTTAAATTAACAGAGATCCGGAAAGACAAACAACTTTTAATATTTAAAATAAATATTTTAGATTAATTAGAGGGAAGATTCAAAGTAAAGCTATTGTTTGAAGTAGGATTGCGAGGGGTAATTACTGCCAAGAAAGTGGTTCTTTGTGTTTTCCAATTATTTAATAATTAACAATCTCATTTCTGAATTGAAGCAAAAAGTGGTAATTTAATTTTGTAAATAGGACTGCTGGGTATAAAATAAAACATAATATAAATGGAATTTTTATATAATATTTATTATGTATTAGTTTAGCTACAAATTATGTATTTATATACACCGTAATAATATCGATATGTACACATCAAGAGAGTCTTCATTATTTATTGTTACAGAATGCATAAATGGTATACTCCGAGTAGCAATAATTTTCAACAAAAAGAAAATACATTCTACTTCAAGCTTAAGAATTACATATTATTTTTTGCGACAACACCCTGTATATATTTTTTTATTTTTCATAAACTCAAAAGATGTATTTTTCAATTATTTTGTACATATTTACAAAAATTATTTTTCAAAAATCAAAAATACCTATCACAATATTTTAGGCAAAATCAATGACATATTAACACAGATAAACATTACAGTAAACAAAATTTTGTGTCGTCAATATCCACCTCCAATGTATCCCCTCCAATTAGGTTGATTCGATTGGCATGTTAATGTGCCGATCGAACATAATTATATTATATGAATTAGAGGTAGATAAACGAGTTGCACTCATGCGCGTTCCTTCATTATTTTGGTCAAGTGAATGACGGGTTCAGAAGTTTACACCTCTGATGCATCCCCACCATGACCCCCCTCGAGCAGCTCACCTCTCCTGGCCCATGGAGGGTCTTATTGTCATTACAACAAACATCAGTTTATGAATGAGATGCGGGGTGTCTATCTGTGTTAAGATGTCATTGGGCAAAATATAAAAATTACATGTAAGATTATGTTCAGGTATGTTAAGTTTAAAAAAAAATTGAGCTTTAAACTTACTTGTCCTGTATAAATCCAGCATAATTTTCTATTTTACATATAAATAAACATTTTCTTTCCTATACTAAAAATCTTACTTACCTTTATACAATTTTTAAATATTATTATTAATAATACTATTCATTATAAGATACCACAATGTCATTGCAATGTTTTCGTCCATTTATTATTTTCAAAGGGGGATTGTCTTGAAATTTTAAAAAGTAATTCGAAGCAATTTTGTCATAATTCACACAAAAATTTGCAAAATAAACTTATAGGAATAAAGCAGTACTATAAGTATTTGGTACGTTCAGCCTTATGAGGATAGTCGATCGCGCCATCTAAGGGGTATAGCTGAAAAAAAAAAGGAATTTTGTAACCATATTATCTAAAAATACTTTCTTGCTTTATTGAGCTACTTAATTTTAGTATTTTGGGTTAGTAATAATAGGAAATTATTACAACAGGCCCAACTTTTAAAATTTATTACTCCGACTGCTGATAGTGCACGAATTTTACGACCGGCGATGATTGATGCGTAAACAGTGTTGTAAGTCAAAAGTGCCTGGCCGATGATGCATTGCTGTACTGTGATAATGTGCTCTAGTTATATAATTTTAATTGATTTAAAATTGAATCTTTTTACTTCATTCAACTGCGACTAGCATTCTCCGACAAGTGCTCACCGAACAAGATTTCGGTCTCGGCCATTATAAAAGTCCCATTCAGAGTCCCTCATAAAAGAATTTAAAAAGCCTGGGTTTAAGTGCCCGATTATCGACACACAAAAAGGCGCAATAGTGTTTCCTAAGAAATCTGTTCGTACCAGCATGATTTTCAATTAACAAAATCTGTTTTAAATTAGTACGCCTTCTAAAATTGTGTGATAAGTTGGACATAGAACATTAGTGGTGGTGCCAGGAACAAAATGATAATAATTGTTTCTACAACAGGACCGGATTTATAGCTAAAACAAAAAAATATCCTTACCTTATTATTATCACAGAAAAAATCAACTTAAGGTCCTATGTAAGGCTTCCCAGATACATATCTGGGCTGTCGCTGTAATCTCACAGGTGGTGGCGTACTCAACGGAGGAGGTGGTGGAGTAAATTGAGGTTTACACACATCCGTGGCTGCGTAGTACTGTTCCGAAGGTGGCGGAATTAAGGGAGGTTTGGGGAAAAAGTGTAGAGGATCTGGAGGTGTCCGCGGGGGTTGTTGAGATCTTTGTAGAGGCACCGCATAATCGGCGTAGTCCGAAGAAGTTGTTGTTAAATGACCTTTAGAAGCAAATAAAAATTTAATTTTTTATAAAAAACAAAACCAAAATCCTCACCTAAAGATGGCGTGCGATATAGAGCCGCTTTGTCGGGTATCTGACTAGGCCTAGGCGAGCTTTTATATCTCCGTTGCTGCACCAAAACGTACACAACAATAGCTACCATAAACAACACTAAAACCGTAAAAACTCCCACAATAATGCCCAAATACTGTCCAATTCCTTGTTGATTGTTCACTGCACTGATCACATTTTTATTATTGTCACCCTTTACAGTCACTTTCTTTTTTTCTTGTATAGTATTGTCCAATTGTTCTTCTTCTTCTGTAAAATTACCAGACACTGGAGAACTCTCGAAAGTTATTTCGCTTATCAAAATCCAACGCGAAGCAAAATATAGTTGAAGTTTCACAAATCTGCCAACTCGATGATGTAACTTGACTGAAACGTTTCTAGGTGATTCAATGATCCTATCCTCAAAAGAATCATAAGTGATTGGTTCTCCCTTATAACGTTTACCTCCAACACTAAAGAAAATTTTCGCTGTACTAAAAACTTGTACTTCTTTAGTAAATTGATTGTTGGTATAAATATGCACGGCTGTAAATTCACGAATTTTATCAAATTCGAAAGTCACTTCTACTGGCTTATTGTCTCTGGTATCATTTCTCCAGCCAACCCAACCTTGAGTATCTTCTTGGTGAAAGGACAATTTGAAATCGTCAGGAGCTTTTTGACCATCTGTGAGTTGACCGAGGCCTGAAACAATAAAATTTTTATTATTCAATTAGGTGTAATGAATATCGAAAGCTTACCATATTTAAGTTTTTCTCCATCCCAATGTCCATCATAAGTGAAATCATAAAATTCCCAACTATTGCCTTTTCTATCTCCTTGGGGCATGGAGTAACTCACTATTCCGTCAGACCATTTGCACCCATAAACTTCAACTCTCATACAAACTGTTCGTTTATGAGAACTGTAGGGAAGAAATCGAATCTTGCTCGCCCAAATAGGTGGGTCCAGCATGGTTTTGAATTCCAGGTATGTGTTTATGTTACCTTTGAGAAGTTCTCCATTAGTTTTGGTACGGTATCTGATCCATTTATTTAGGCGTGGCCTGGAAAATTAATTTAACTTTGTTTGTTTAGGTCTGAAATGATGAAATTTCATTTTTATGTTGTGTCCAAATGAACTGGAAGAGGGATTGTAGTCCTCTACTGGGATAAAAATCGCTGAAAATTTCAGCTTTTTATCTTTAATAGAAAAAAAGTTATGACCTTTCGTCGATTTTCCCAAAATCTAAATCATCTATATCAGGTACCAGGTGTTTTTTTATGTATTGACACCCCACCTTTAACTTTATAGGTAGAAGAAAGTTGTAAATACAAAAGTTGTACAGTTTTGATTCAATTTTTAGAAACCATGGCAGAAACAAAATTTGAATGTCAGAAATGTGAAATTTTGTAGCTTCTAGCTTTTTTCAAATGGGATGCCCTATATTACATTCTATATCCGACTCCAAAAATATATAGTTTGTCTATATTTGATTGAACAGTCTCTCATATATTCAGATCCAAAAATTGTAAAAATACTATCCTACTACTGATTTTGTGAACCATTCTACCTGTGCAGGTGAAAGCTGCAAGTAAAATTTGAAGTACTTGGTTTCCATGATATATAACATTTTTAGAACCATAAATATGTTGGAGACGGCTCAACCAAATATAGACAAACTATATAGTTTTGGAATCGGGAAATTGTGTTCTTCAAGAATATAGAACCAAAAAAGGGCATCTCATTTGAGAAAGGCTGAAAGCATGCAATATTTCACATTTCTGACATTCAATTTTTGTTTCGGCCATGGATTCTAAAAATTTAGCCAATACTGTACAACTTTTGTATTTACACCTTTCATCTACTTGGAAAGGTGAAGGCTGTAGGTGGGGTGTCAATATATAAAAAAAATACCCGTACTTGAATGAATACTTCCTTTTAACAGGAAATAGTAATGTTACTTTAGCAAACTAGTAACATAATGTAACAAGTTATTCGAGTACAAATGAGTGAATGGTTGCGGAACTTATGGGTAGACTTCTGCGGGACGAGCGCAGCGAGTTCCGCAGCCATCTATTCATCAATATGTTATTTAATTACGATACTAACCTGACTCTCTCAAATATGAGTTATTCTCATTAGCTTAAAAACTACACGCTTCAGGTGAATGTCTTACTTGAACAATTCCAGGGGCGGATGGGACCACCGGGACACCGGGCAGATGGTGGGCCGGACACCAAAATTGGGCCGCCGTCTGCCACCTTGATAAAAAAAACTTTTTTATAAGTTCTTGCGAACCTTACACCAAAAATTTCAGACATGTCCAGGTTTTCTATCTGGCCATACTCACAGTACGGATTCTTTTTTACCCCTATTCTGCAAAGATGCTGTCCTATCGAACAGTGCCCTGTACGCATCCTAGTGATGGACGTGATATGCCGTCTATGTGTGTATTGAAGATCTTTGAACCATGTTTTCATTGGGAACTCAATTTGCACCTGTCTGTATATACCAATTCTCCTTTTTATTAAGTGACTACTTCCAAGAGACTGCATGTTCGCAATTTATTTTTGCTTTGATCAGAGGAAGGATGTGAGATGGTTCCAGAGGGAGCGCCCTTGAAACATTTAGAATTCTTCCTATGTTGGCAAGCTTGTCAGCGCATTCATTGCCAGCTAGGCCAGCATGGCCCGGAATCCATGCTAACTTAATGTTGTTTGCAAAATTAGCTTCCACAATAAGTCTTTTGGTTTTATTTTATTTCTATTCCTTTCTATCTTCTATTTCACTACTGTCAGGGTTGTCTATTGCACTTTTTGAATCTGTCAGGATCAGTGCATTTTGTATGTTTTTTTTTTGGAGAGCATAGCACACTCCCTCATTTATGGCTACCATCTCCGCTGTGCAGATATCCATTTCGTCCTGCAATCTTGCAGAGAAGTTGTATTTTTTGCTGGGGCAGTGAATACCAGATCCAGTTTTTCCATCCTTTCTAGAGCCATCCGTATAGATTTGTGTGTATGAGCAGTCCAGAGAGCCGATACTTTCCCTGAATCTATTGATAGTATTGGTTCCATGTTTTTCTAAATGGAGTTCTATGACCGGCAAACAGCTTAACTGGACTTACTTTTCTATTTCGAAACATGGCAAGGCAACAGGCTCCGTTTCATCCTTCTTCCATATGGCAGGAAGTAGTAATTTGCATTGTACATCTTGTGATATTTTTTTTTGTTTTTTAATGATTATAAGTGGGTGATTTTCGAAATTGTAGATTTTGGACAGGTATTTGACAGCGAGCCATCTTCTTCTGTATTCCAGATACATCATTCCTCTGAGTCCTGCATTGAAGACACTGTTGATTTTCTGTTGGTTCTTTTTCGAGAGTGGCTTCAACAAAAAAGGTCCATAATCCAGATGGGATATTACCAGTCCTTGTAGGACCATTCTCAGAGTTAGAGGGTCAGAACCGCACCATACTTTGCGGAAAAATTTAATTACATGAGTCCTTTTTTTGCCTTCTGTATTATATTTTCTGTGTGTTTATTAAAGTTTAGACGGTTGTCCAAATGTATACCTAGATACTTAACGGTTGTTTGGAGGGGAATGATTGATTTTGATGGGTTGAATTTCGTTTCTTTTGTTCCCTTTAGCAAAGTGAACCACCTCGCATTTATCATAGGACAGTCTCAGACAGCTTTCCCTCAACCATTTTCCAAAGACATTCAGGGAGGAATTTATACTATTTGCCATCTGCAAGGCGGATTTTCCCCTTAAGAATATTATACAAAGTCATCTGCATGTCTCATAATTTGGGTTTCCTCTGGCAGTGATTCAATTAATAATTCCTGTGAACAAGATTGTACTTAGAGGCGAGCCCTGCGCGGAAGACCCGAGTTCACCACTTTAAAGCTGTTCTTTTGTATTTCTAATGTAAATTTTTCTACTTCTTAAGATTTCATGTATTAGGTTGCAGACTTCTGTGGAGATGTTGAGCCTGGTCATTTTTGTATATAACTTCTGCAGATTGACATTGTCGTACGCTGCTTTGATATCCAGGAAAACTGCGAGAACTGTACACCCCTCATTGAAAGCGAGCGTTATGTAGGCGACAGGCAATGTGTATGCCACGCAATCATTAAATCCTTTTTTTTTTCTGTATGCTGTTTGTTTCCATGTAAATATTTTTTTGTTTTCCATTTCCCATTCTAATAATTTTTTTATAACGATTTCCAATAGTTTCAGCATACATGACGCCAGTATAATGGGACGGTAGCTGTCTAGATTTTTGTTGGGTTTGCATATGACATGGATGAGATACGCTTTCCACTAATCAGGTATGGGGTCACCCCTCATCAGGTTGTTGTTTATGTATAGGAGTTGATGTTTGGCTTTTTTGGGAGATTTGAGATCATGGAGTATGAGATTTCATCAGGTCTCGGGGCTCAGTCTTTTTTTTCCTTTAGTGCAGCGTAGAATTCACCCAAAGTGAATGGGATATGTTCTGTCGCATCTTGGATATTGGCCTTTGGCTGGGTTGGAAAAGCTGCCAGCCTATCAAGAATTTTCACTCTTACATTGTCTGTAGTAATTGTTTGGGATTGGTTTTCATACTTGCCAGCAATTTTTTTAACTTTAGACCAATCTACCTTGATGCTAGAGTGTCTGTTAACTGATGAACAGTAGGCCATGAATTTTTGTTTTTTCTTTTTCCTGAAAAAACGTCTTGTTTTTGCAATAGTATGTTTCATTTTAATGAATTTTTCCATAGATGGGTTATTTCTGTAGTCCCTTATAGCTGTTTTTCTTTTTTGGAGTTGCTCTGTGCATTCCTGGTCCCACTAGGGATTTCCAGTTTTTTTCCTGCCATTATCTGATAATTTTGGTATGTGCTTGTTAGCAGCCTCTTGGATGACGTCCGATAGTGTGTTCCACACTGGGGGGGGTCCGCAAGGGTGTCAATATTGAGCTCAACTTCATTGTAGTATACAGTTCAGTTTGCCTTGTGGTATTTTCTTCTTGGTATGTTGCTACCGAGGTTGCTACCTATGAAGTTTGTTGAAGGGTGTTGCCTTGTCCCGACCTGATATTGATTCTTACCAAGGGTGCGGGGCCCACACAAAGAATTGGTTAGTTGGGACACTCAAAATCCGTTGGTGCTCGTAGGAAATCGTGCACAAGAATGGTTTTATTTTTAATTTTTTATTTACTAAATGTCAAAATTATCAAATGTCACTCCTATAACTCACTGCTAATAGATGGCGCCACGGCCGTGGTGTCCAAAGTAATTAATTTGTGATTTGTGAATAAATCAGAGCACAAATTAATAGTTTGAAAAACGTCCCTACTCCCGACCACAGAATATGAACCGATTAAATCAACATTGGATTGGATAGTTCAGAGCGTTTGAACTCTCAAACATCCGAAACATATTTAACCAGAACACCTGTTCCTAGTTCAAAAACAGTTTTTTTGAAATACCGCTTTCCACATCTTGTTGCGTTTTGTAGGCAATCTGATATAAATCCATTTTGAACGCTTTAGAATAGCTTTTCCGTTACACTTTTATAAAAATTTTATTGTTTTATGCAACAAACTCGATCAACGAAATATAATATTACTAACGTGTATTCTACCTACATACTACATATACATATAGAAACTTGTTTACTCTGTTATGATAGGTACAAACATATAACAACAATAGTTATTTAAACAACAAATTTTGAAAATGACTTTTTTCGCACGGCCGAGACAGTTTAAACGAGTTTTTTACAATGCTTCTCCTACAACTGCAAAATAAGGCAACTAAAATTATATTCTGATGGAAATGACTAATAAATTCACATAGATAAAAAAACGTAAACAATTTGACAGAAATTTACAACTTCACTTTTGTGTCAAGTTAATATAGAGAATATATACAGGGTGTCCAGAAAATAGCGTAAAAGCTCTACACTACGTAATAGAGGACCCTTAAGGAACCCCAGAAAAATAATTTAAAAAATCTAGTGGCATTCTTAAGAAAGTTATTAACATTTTAATGTTTATTAAAATTGGCAACACTGGAAATATCCCGTTGACAATTCGCCACAGAATTACATTGAATACTTATGTAATTACCTGGAAAATGTATAGTGCATGCGAAAATAGAATAGCATGCGGTTTTTTTTCGCATACGCTATGTGAAAAACTCAATTTTCAGCGGTAGCCTAGCGTGCGAAAAATTCCATTTTCAGAAGCCGTGAAAGGTGTTTTTACTAGCGTGCGGATAAGTCCATCTTCCGCACGCATTTCAGTTTTGAAAGTGACACTTTTCCGCATCACTTTACGGAAAATATCTAAAATTGTATTTGAAATTAGTAGAGGTACAAGTATCAATTTTCATCTAGTACAAGGAATACTCGTGCGGAAAGTCTCTTTTCCTCACTTGATTGCTTGGCAGAACTCCGCTTCGCATCGTTCGGCCAACTGTAATTGCGTGCGGAAAAGTGACACTTTCCGCACGCGAGTACTCTTATCAGAAATATGTTTTAAGTCACGTTCTTGAAATTTCCTGTTAGGTAATGCTTTTCTCTCAAAAAGAAAAATAAAAAAATTCTATGTCGGCGGTACTCCATCGGCTCCTATCTTGGTAAGGGTACTACCGCGGATGTTTGGAGGTACCTATGTACCTCAGATTTAATTCTTCGATTTACGTCTCTTTATATTTCTTAAAAAGTGAGTGGTTTATGAGTAAAATGAAAATTGGGCAAAAAATTGTTTTCTGACAGTACTTCTTTGGCTCCTATTTCAGTGAGGGTAGTACCCAGGAAGTCCAAAAATAACTAACTTTTTCTAAGGGATTTTTTGTGCTCTTCAATCTATCTCTCTTCATATTTTCTCGAAAAATGAGTAGTTTTTGAGTAAAACGTAAATTAAGCAAAAAATGTCAAAAATCCAAGATGGCGGCGACCTTTTGACAATGTTCCCGTGGAAGGAGGTCTAGGGACTTTTAATATGTTTATCAGGACCATAAATCCTATCGATTGAGACTAGTCGCAGCTTTATGTTATTTTGTTCCCAATTCACCATATAAGAATTTTTAACTGTCTTGAAGTATAATGTTACTTTACTAAATTAGTAACATAATGTGACAAGTTATTTAAGTACAAATGAGTGAATTGTTGTATTATTGCGGAACCTATTAGTGGACCTCCCATCTATTCATCAATATGTTGTCTAATTACGATACTAACCTGACTCACTCAAATTTGAGTTCGAGTTGCCTTACTTGAACAGTTCAACAGTATGTTGGTGAGTAGATGGCTGCGGGACGAGCGCAGCGAGGTCCACCCATAAGTTCCGCAACAATTCACTTATTTGTACTTGAAAAATAGCTCATTATATAAAGTCAAAGTAAGATTATCCACTTTTTGTCAATTTGCCTTTTAACAGAAATTATTAATGTTACTTTACCAAACTAGTAATATATTGTACAAAGTTATTCAAGTACAAACGAGTGGATTGTTGCGGAGCTTATGGGTGGACCCAGCTATCTATTCACCAATATGCTGTTCAAGTACAATACTAACCTGATTCACTCAGTTGTGAATTTTTCTTATCAGTTCAAAAACTACACGTTTCAGGTGAGTGTCTTATTTGAACAGTTCAACAGTATATCGGTGAGAAGAAGGCTGCGGAACTCGCTGCGCTCGTCCCGCAGAGACCCACCCATAAGTTCCGCAACAATTCACTTATTTGTACAGGGTGGTTTTTCATATATATTGACACTTCACCTATATCCTTTACTTTTACAGGTAGATGAAAGGTATAAATACAAAAGTTATACAGTTTTGGCTGAATTTTTAGAAACTTGTACCTTCTTAGTAAAACAATGAAATTTCAATTTTTTTTTTGTTGAGATTTTGTGTCCTAATGGTCCTCTGAGATCTCTTAAACTCCATACATTAAATTATTCTGAGATTTGCATCCAGATTCTATGAAAAAAGGCACTCAGAAAAATTGATAAATCACCCCAAATTGCTTAACACGATTTTATTTCTAGAACTATACACGTCCAAATGAGCTGAAATTTTCAGGGATTGTAGTCCTTTACTGGTATAAAAATCGCTGGAAATTTCAGCTAAATGATCATATTATCAATTTTCAACTAACCTGTAATATTCTAGCATATAAGATTCGGCAAACTCAACACCTTGTCCATTACCAAACCTTCCTTGCGTTTCAGTAGCAGTTATCATATGAACGGTATGTAAATCAATTTCAATCCATTCTTTAGTTTCTGGAGTGGCTTGCGTCGAGGGACACCAAGCGCCGCCGTTGATTTCGTTACGTATTCTGTAAAGAAAAATTGGCAAAATGTTACAATTTATTGCTCAAACTTTTATATCTCCTCTCGAAACTTTCAGATCAGTAAAAATGATCTACTTTCCAGTCATAAATCAATTTCCGATATAGATTTGTTGGCACAGTCGCTCAAAATAAGTTTATTACTTCTTGTTGGAATAAAGTTATATCTTTTAATGGCCCCCAGAAGTTTCGCAGTGAACATATTTGTGTAAGAGTTTTAGAAGTTTTAAAGTTTTAGCGATTGCATAATTGCATATTAGAAAGTTTTCCGAGGAGGCGGACAAGTTTAAATTGACAATTTTTTTTTGCAATTACCTTCCGTGATGTGGTCCTACGTTTCCGTGATCGAATGAGGAACTTGCAGTTATGTCAGTGTCTTTAATCAGTCCATTTTCCATTCCTAGTGGAGCTATACATTGCGCTGCAAAAAAAAATGTTTTTGTGTGTTTATTCAAACGAAAATCTCCGATTCAAAGGTTGGAACTTTTTCAAATAACGTCGTTTTTCTCTCTGTCCTTCCGCCACCACCGAAAAAGGTGGCAAAGCAAAATGCAGACTACAAAAGTTTCAGATGTTAATGAAAGTTGCCAAAAGGGGGGGTGTATAGTATTTTAGAATCCGCCTGGGAGTTTGGGGGATGTTTAAAATATCGTTCGGAGGGTGCTTGGCGGTTTTCAAAATGAAAAAGTATATAGTTTTTTTTTTCTTTGTTATGTTACTTGAATGTATATGCGGTTCAACAGCAACAGAAGATATAAATGGGTGTGTTTTTAAAACCTTGAAATTGAAATTGAAGCAATACTTACAAGGTTCCACCCCTTCAACGCTAACAGTCACAATCAGACTACGGACGAAGACAAAAACAATTCCAGTAGCGACGTTCATTTTTTTCTCATTTGTTCGCTTTGATTTCTCTTCTCCTTGTGCCCTACGGCTCCCCTCTCTAACGAGGACTTGATCTCTGGAATAAAAGAAAATACGTTTTAGGTCAGCAGAAGATGAAGGAAAATCCTGTGAAATTTATACTTTTGTTCTATAATAAATAATTTTAGGAATATTTCAATTAATAGTATATTGTTGTATTAGGAGTAGAAGCTTTACTTTTTTGTGCTGAAGCAGTAGGTTTGCGAGCCGAACGTAGTGAGGCTTGCAATACTGCTGAAGCACAAAAAAGTGCTTCTACTCCGTATGCAACACGCTATTTTTTCTCCAAGCGAATGGAGTAAGTTCGGGGGTAACTGGATGGTTAAGCGACAGTAAAAGTACGGGCGGCACTAAAAGTACTTTTGCTGCCGCTCCAGCGGCACTAAAAGTACTTCTACTGCCGCTGCGGTTGCCTAACAGCATAGAAATTAAATTTCTACCACCTCGACAGGTGTCAACCCGCTTGATTTGCCTACCAGCATAGAAATTGAATTTCTAACATCTTGACAGGTGATGACAAAGTGGCGTTTTTTTGACGTTTGGAGAAAAACATTATTTTTTCATCTTTCAGGCTAAAGAACATACCCAAACTAAACATAACTTATATCAGCTTGAACATAACCGTGAGCAACTTTACTACTCTCAACTACATCAAACAAGCAAAATATGTACCTACATGTTTTTCTACGTTGTCGTAAATCCGAATTATCAAAAATGTAATGTTCTGCATCGTAAACCTACTAAAAACTGGAGTTATTCTCGACATTTATGGAGACCCAGGCTACTAAGCGACTTGTCCATAAAAACTTTTCCTTGAACTATTAAATGCTTGTTCGTGAATAGAGATGGGAAATTTATCGATATATTTCCAACAGGACATTTTCCAAATAGGTATATCGATACATAACAAACATCCCTATACATTTTAGTACCTACTTTTGAAATTGCCTTTTCGCTGATTTATTACCAGACGATTTTATTGCTAAAATACGTGTCTTCTTGTAGTCTCTCGATATTTTAAAGCTCATCTTCATGTCCTAATGTTCTCTTGGATATTGTTTTTATTACTTTTGTGAACTGGAAGTTTAAATATTTGAAAAACTGTCATATTATAAATTACTTTCTTTCTAATTATATTCCTAAAAATAATGGGCCTTAGATTACTCGAACAAACAAATCGTAATTCCAATCTTATTTTCCTTGTTGCAGTATCTTGTTTCGTAAATTAGGCGCAGTTTATTGAATCGTTAAATGCGTCTAAGTGAGAACACCTAATAAATTACTGCTCGGAATATTTGCTTTATGAATAATATAAAGCGCTACTGGGAATAAGTGAGGCGCCTAAAATTGTTTACTTAGACTTTTTGAAAATATTTGTGAACAATACAATTTATAATACAGGAAACAAAATATTAGGACACCTGCATCCATGTGAACGCAACCGTTAGAAATTATTACGAAAAATTGATCACGTACTTTAACAACAAAACGTGCTTCCACAACTAAATATTCTCAATACTTTGTGTGCCTTATGAACTCTTTAGTGTAAATCGTTTTAATGCTTCCATAAGCACTAGAACATTACAAAAGGGTCTGGTTCAAAATTAATTTAATGGTTTCAAGCTTGGCTTAAAACAATGATACGTGTCAAAACAAAAGGTGGACTAAAATAATCTTCAAATTATTTATTTTCAATCAGTTGATGGATTGAACACTCGGTGAATTCCGTATAATTTTTAGGTCAAAATATGAAATTCTCTTATCTTCACCCACTTCATCATATAGCAGATTTATTGCAACATAACCGTAAAAATAAATAATTCAAGGAGCCATCGTGTCCGAAGCAGAAAAACAAAAATAAATCTCTCACTTAAATACTCATACATCAACCGTTTACATCCTCAAAGATGGCATTAAAGGAGCATTAGACAATTACCGAAAGAAATTTACAAGACCGTCGCGTCATGTTTATTCTATTAATTTTCCCTCCAACAATTATTTCCAGATGCTTGTGTATTCTAAGAATGGCGAAAAGGCTTGTTAAAATGGATTCTTTTTGGTTTTATTTTTAGTTGAGAGAAGTTGGATGCCAAAATGGCATGTTCTTCGACTAGGAGAATTTCTTTAATGCCGCCTGGATTTAGTTTTAGTATTAATTAGACGGAGATTTTTCGACATGGACGATTATATGTTTCATAATGTGATTTAATTTGTGCTTGTCACAAGGATTTTGGTATATAATTTTTTTCGGACCAAGTTTGGGTGGTCCAGAATTTTATTGTTTTAAAATATATCTGTTTTCCAAATTATTCCGAGAAACAGACAAGGACATGGAGAATCAGAATTATTCAGAAAAAGCCCTCCTCATTTTACGAAGTGTCCTATTTTTTTTATTATTGAAAAATCTGCAGCCACCTTGGTTATCAATAAAGAAAGTGGAGAAGAAAATATCAAGTTTGATTGACAAGCTTAAGGGCCAAATTATCAACCAACTGGTAAGTGTCTGGTTGTTACCTAGTAGGTACCTACTTTCTATTCTCTAGTGCATAAAAAGTACCTGCTAGGTAATAATCACACGTTTACCATAATTTGGCCCTAAAGAAAATTTCGAATGGTATAACTAACCCCTTCAATGAGCTTCTATCTTGGGACACGCCACTGAACTGTCAAAAGTGTCATTGAATTTCCTAGGGAATGCTAAATCATGTGGCAACATTGTTTTGAGATGACGTTTCTAAGTAGGCCTTGTTTTTTTTTTCTTGACAGTCAGTGTCAAATTTATTTTTTTTTTCTCAATTTTTAGGTTCCCCTTTAGCTAAAATCCTTCTAATTGAAATTTTAATAAATTGACGTGTCTCGCATAAATAGAAAAAGAGAGCTTAATTGCAATAAATACAAGTTAGAAAGTAATAGAAGATGACATGCGCGCGCAACTGGTGGCTGCAGTGTAGCCAGATTGTATTGTTGCAGAACAAAATGTAGACACTATACAAAGTTACAAATCGAACACTATTTATTACATTAAAGAAGTGATATACTGGAATGCGCACACATATTGACGAATGTGAAGCCTAGTGCCGCTGCTTAAATGGCGGAAATTGCTTTCAACACGTATTCCAACTGACAAAACTTGTGTAAAGTTTTTTTTTTTTTTAAAGATAAAAGTCAAAATGACATTATGTTGGCAATACAATGTAAAATTGTCTAGCTTTCAAATTTTTTATGTAGAAAAGGCTTGTGTTGCCAACATAGTTACTAAATTTTTGATTTGGGGAATTACCTTTAAAAAAAGAACACACTTTAGGTAAATATAACAAAACTTTCTAAAACGTCATATTATGTCAGCGAGCAACAGAAAATAACAGCATGGCAATGTGTGCGCATTCCAGTTTTTGTCTATAGTTTATTGGTCAAGTATAATCTCGAGTATAATCTAACATAACCTTAAACGACAATGCGGTGAAATCAAGTAATACATAAAGTATTAGTTGCTCTTTGTCGATTTACACGTTACAAAGAAAGAAGGAACGACTACGCCTAGAAATAAAGAAATATGACGCAAGCCTGTAACAAACTTTACTTTCTCACCTGCTTGCCACAGGCTGCGCGCGCCGATTCAGGTATTACGACACAGGTCAAGAATGTAATAGACCTATCTCGCATAATTAGAAAAAGAGAGCTTAATTGTAATAAATACAAGTTAGAAAGCAATAAAAGATGACATGCGCGCGCAACTCGTAGGCTGCAGTGTAGCCAGATTGTATTGTTGCAGAACAAATATAGACTATACAAATCGAACATTATAATATTAAAGAAGTAATATAGTGTTTTTAAATTGGCAACACTGTAATATTTGCTCTGGCTCTTCGTTTTTACTGTACATGTTTTGATTGTTAGGGTCAAATACAGTAGTATATTTGCATCTGCAAATTTGCAGTTCTGCAAATATGGCCGAATTGCATAGGTATGTGCTCTATTTGCAGAAACGAGAAAATTACAGAAAAAAATCTGCAATTTCGTCATATTTATCGGAAAAAAGTGTTTGGGCGCTATTGATTTATAAGTTTTGAATGTCAAAGTTATCAAAAACGGAATTTTCGTGACGAATGTAGTTCATCCAAGGACGAGCCATAGATCGTCTGTGACGTCACGAGATTAAACGGTGGCTAGAAGCTGCATCCATGCTTCTGTCAAACTGCGTTCAATATGACGTCATGAGTTTCTCGCGAAAGCGTTTGTGTTCATGAAATCATGGAAGTAGCTCATCGCGAAAATTCGGTTAAAGTGATTGGAAGGACTTGAGGGACCGTTTCAACATGCGCAAATGGACCCCGCAATATTTAAACAGAAATTGGTTACCCCTGATATTTGGATGAAATTTAAATATGTTATTGGGGATGGCGTAAACAACATTTTTTACTATGGGCGCAACCTTGTATATATGACAGGTGAGGCGGTCAAATATTGAAATTTAATATTCAAAAGCAGGGTCACTATAATAATTGTCTGTCTGTAACTGTGGCATATTTTGATGTAGGTAAATATCGATTTCTACTAGTCGACCAAGGTAAACCGAGAAATTTCAACCATTTTGACATCTGTCAAAATCCTGCCAAACGTCAGCACTCATATTTTTCAGTTTTTAATATTTCATGAGGTGTCATTCTTCGTAATTTTTAACTTATGTAAATTCTGAGTTCAAAAATTGAAAAAAAAAGTTATAAAACTGTCAAAACCTGTCATTTATTTTAGTAAAAAAAAAAATCGAATCTGATTCTTTTTCGTTTTGAGTTATAGTTCATTAGTAATAAAACATTGAACAAAGCTTATAGACATCAAATTTTGACAGTTGCTAGAATCTGAAATAGCTTCAATTGAAAAGATTTAAATCTAGTTTTGTTTCAATTATTCGAGTAATGCTTATTTATGATGAAAAAGCATTCTACACAGATTCAAATTTTGACAGCTGTCAAAATTTGATATCTATGAGCTTTGTTTAATGTTTCATTACCAATAAACTATCTTAAAACAAAAAAG